ATACAACACTTTAAAACCGTTCTACTTTTTTTTCATTCGTATCCCTCTTTTGTTTGTAACTGCTTACTTCTTTCTTTCTTTTTCTTTCCCGTCTACTTCTTCCTCTTTTTTTTTTTCTTTTTTTCTTTTTTGTTTAATTTATTTTTTTTATCTTTTTGTCAAATTCTGCTTTATCCATACCTGGCTTTTTGTTTCTCTCCCCGCCAATTTGAAACAAGTTGGCGTATAAATAGGCTCGCAATACATTTTATTCTTTGGGATGAAGTTGTTTCACTTCGTAAGATTATGTCGGCATAGAATTACATGACACATTCGTGTAAATGCTTACGATCTTTTTTTTTTTTTCTTTTTTACTAAAGTTGATCACAATCAACATTTATTGATCTTCTGACTCAAACATCGTCACTCTCGCTTACCTGATTTTTTATTTTGTGGGAGATTGCACACGCGCTCGTGCGTACGTGTCAAAAGAGAGAAGGTAAAAAAAAGAAGTAGAGAAAGAAAGAAGTAGAGAGAGAGGAGGAAACAGTGGAAATAACAGAAGCTTCTTCACATTAAACTGATTTTAGTACAGTACATGGGCAAATAATGGGGAATCGAGGTAGAAAATAATTGAATTTCGTCAGTTTTCCAATGTGAAAGGCAAACTGCCTGATAAGAGCATTTGAAATCCAAGATAGGCTTGAAAACCGACCCTTGATACCAGGCCGAAATAAGTAACGATTTCAGCCCCAACGCAAGACATTTTCCCTAAATACTTGTTTACTTCAACAAGTCTCTATGACTCGTACTTTTTTTTTTTCCTTTTTTTAGAACTCTCATTTCTTCTTTGTATTTCACCTTATTAACTTGCTCTTGTGCATCTTCCGCTTCTTACATCTCTCTTGGGCTACTTCTTTCCACTCCTTTCAACCTATTCACTCTCTCATTCTTTCTTTCTTCCTTCCTTTTCAATTCTCGTTGCTTTCTTTTCTTTATATCACCTCGTCTTCTTTGTTATATTTTGTCGAAATTGTTGCTTTAAGCTATTTCACTGGATATCTTTATTTTTTCCTGTCTCATTTTGTCCCTGTTATCTATCTATCTATCTATCTATCTATCTATCTATCTATCTATCTGTCTGTCTGTCTGTTTGTCTATCTATCTATGTTCTGTTTCTATCTATCTATCATGGTCTTTGCATTTCTTTATCTATCTATTCATATCTATCTATCTGGTCTTTTCAAATTTATCTATCACGGCCTTTTCATATCTATCTATCTATCTATCTATCTATATATATCTATCTATCTATCTATATATATATATATATATATATATATATATATGTGTGTGTGTGTGTGTGTGTGTGTGTGTGTGTGTGTGTGTGTATATATATGTGTGTGTGTGTGTGTGTGTGTGTGTCTGTTTGCGTGTGTGTGTAAGATAACGATATATAACAACAGTATTGGGGAAATTGTATGACAAAATGGAAAAAGTTTACTTGTGACGCATTCCGTCCTTCAGGACTTCATCGGAATAAAAAAAATTTTATGTTGGTAGGACTACACATGCGTACGAACGAGGGATGCTGGCAGTTTTAGAATTTTTTTTTTTTTTTTTATCTAGCTAAGCACATTTAGGGTATTTTCTTTTTTCTCTCCATCACTTTCGTAAGTAGATATTCCACCCTGGGATATTAGAAGATCTGCCAGGGATGGTGAAATATTATAAGAGCCAGGGAGTAAATTTACTGTAGATGACCTTGCGATTAAGACACTCTCTAGACAATTATGTCGTAGTGAATTATTTTTTCCTTTGATATAATATAAAAGTGGACACTGAGGTCAATACACAGGGCCAACATTCTGTTTCATGCTTAACCGTAACCTTCAGGCATGAAACAGAATGTCCCCTCAGTGTCCATTTTTTTATTTTGTATTTACATACACTCAATCCCTGTTATTTAGCATTGAAGACAGAAATATAGCATACTTTAAAATTATATTTTATCATATATATATATATATATATATATATATATATATATATATATATATATATATATATATATAAAGACTTAAACACTAATATTCTATGGTCATAATTTATTCCATTGGAATCGTAAATACGATCCAATTCATCAGACCTGCAAATTCAAAAAGAAAACAGAAAAAACAACTCCGGGAATAAAAAATAAAATTTAGTGAGATTAAATTATATATATATATATATATATATATATATATATATATATATATATATATATATATAATTACATGAATCATTCATACAAAAAACAAATATATCTATTTCCATACCTGAGGATGTCTGTAGGAACAGACGAAAGCTTGTAAAAACTAAAAAAGACTTTATGCAACTGGAATTTATAAACAGGGATCATAACATTCATATACAGGTTCGGGGTTAGTGTACTTTATTAAAATTGTTTGCGAAGATGTAATTCTCGCCATTTAAATCATTAACTTCTATATTTGTTTTTTTGTATGAAGGATTCATGTAATATATATATATATATATATATATATATATATATATATATATATATATATATATATTTCAATCATCTTTCATTGAAAACTGCCATCACGAAAAATTTAAATAATCTTTTAAGTTTTCCTATCATTCTAACATTTTTCAGAGATTTAAGAATATAGAAACATGTCCATAGTTATAATTGTTCCGTGTGCTTTTGGCTCTTTCTATAGCCATTATACTTGCGGGAGTTGGATATGCTTTGTTGGCTGTCATGTGCTATGCGCGGCCGTTTGACTTGGGCATCACTTCTATTTTTGGAAAACCTTTAACACACCGTCTCCACTGCTAAAGACAATTGCTAGATAGATAGCAGACAACAAAAAATATTAATTAAATATTTGTCTGCCCTCTTCAATGAAAGATATATGTATTTATATATGTATTCATATATATATATATATATATATATATATATATATATATATATATATATATAGATGCAGAGAGAGAGAGGAGGAGAGAGAGAGAGAAAAGTAAATCTTCTTCTTCTAAGTTCCGTGTCCTTTCTGGACGTTGGTTATCATGGCTTTTCCTCTGGTCCTCTATCCTGTGGGTATCAAATTTTCAAAACCGCCTTTCCTCGTTATGCATCCCAGAAATTTCAACTCTCACTTTCTGATGTTAAGAATACGTCTAAAATCGAAATAAAGACTGTTGCAAAATCGCCCACAACTAAATGTTTCATGGGGAACTGATTACTTCTATATAACGTTTCGTTGTCTACAAATCCGCGGGAAACTTTTTCAGCGATTTGTGAAACTCTTTTCCGGCTAATTACTTTTAAGTCAATTTTGATCTTCACAAATTTAAATACAATGTCAATCGCTATCTTTCCTGCCAAATATGATTTCAAAAAATTTAATTTAATGTCAGTCGTCTTTAATCTTGTTTATGTCGCCTTTAATCTTGTTTATGTCGCCTTTAATCTTGTTTGTGTCGCCTTTAATCCTGTTCTTTTATTGTCTTCTCTGTTTCTTTCAATCCCACCAACCCCTTGTATCTTTGAGGCTTTATTTCCTTGCTTGATGTGAAATAGTTTTTAAAAAAATAGCAGATCTGTCTACTTTGGACATTGTGCAAATTACTTGCAATTTAGAAGCCATTTTCACTTAGTTTTACTGTTTAATATAATTCAGATATTTTATTTATAATAATAATAATAATAATAATAATAATAATAATGCCGATTCTGTTGTAAATATCTAGAAACAATTTACCATCTTGTATTAGGTTGCATGGTGTCAGCACCTACTGAATTATACAGTTGAGAGTGAGCCAGTATCTGCACTGGAAAATAACTTTTCGGGAAGGAAACTGTAAGAAATTGGTATGAACATCGACTACACTTGATTCCAGAGATTAGGACCTGCAAATCTTTTTATAGGACTTTACGATACACAGAGAGAGAATAATCAGAGCTAATCGTTTAGACATCTTTGATCAAAGACAACAAAAGCATAATTCACTTTCTTATTGACGGGATATTTCCTACAGATTGTAAGGAATCTTTAAGGATCTTTCAAAAGGCTATCAAAATACAAAGATCTTGAATTGGAAATTTAAAAAGTGGCACATGAGCACATCAATAATTCCAGTTGTGGTTGGAGCCCTCGGATTGATTGGAAAAGGTTCCGTTAGACTCCATTGAAGGGATTCTTGGTAGCCCATGCCTAAAAGTAATACAAAAACTTATACTTACAACTACAGTTTAGACATTACGAAGAGCTTTAGCTATGTAAAATGAGCGTGATTTTAGGTTTGGGGTTTTTTATCAGTGAAAATGTCATGAAGCCATTTCTGACTTTAGGTCTTTGGTTGTAACCTTGAATGATATGTGTATACAACAGAAATCAAAGGAAATAATAATAATAATAATAATAATAATAATAATAATAATAATAATCAGACACAACGTATTCCATCTGAAGTATTTCTAGATGGACCCCACTTGCAAGTTTATCCGCGGCTTTTATATAAAAAGAAAAAACAACTTTCATTATAGCGTGCACATTTGGCTGTGAATCATGTGCCTGGTCATACATTTATCCGAATAGGAATCATGACGTATGTTATCGGGTTTGGTATATATGTGACCCAACATCATTGCTTGCGTAATAAGGATAATATATTAAATAACTTTGTTAAATTATTTGTTGAATGGTTCAACATTAAGGTTCATAGTATCATATCCACACTTCGGGAGATATGATAGTGAATTGTTTTGACTGTTTTCCCATTAAATATCCTGAACCCCAGAGTTGAGATATTCAACAGAGAAGTGATTTAACTTATTATTATTATAATTATTATTATTATTATTATTATTATTATTATTTCCTTTCATTTCTGGCGTTTACACATTTCTTTCCCAGGGACCTAAGTTTAGAAATGGCATCATAACACTTTCCACTGACAAAAAAAATTACATAGTTAAAACCCTTCGTAAAGATAGATAGATAGATAGATAGATAGATAGATAGATAGATAGATAGATATCAAAATCTAGAATGCCGATACCTGTGCCCACATTGTGTGTCATTGAACACACTTCCGGGTTAAATATACAACAATTTTAAACAATACACACACACACACACACGCGCGCGCGCGCGCGCGCTCACACGCGCGCGCACACACACATCCACGCACACACACACACATATATATATATATATATATATATATATATATATATATATATATATATATCCATATATACATCCCTGCCCACAGGTCTTTTGACGAGTAATAGAGAGTGGGGGCGGAGAAGAGCGAGACCTATCTCTGACGTTTGTCATTATATGAAACTCTAACTAGCGGATTTAGTACTGATAGTATTTAGGTCCTGCTGACTTTGGCATTGACGTCTCAGATTATATTTTAAACTTGTAGGTTATTTTAAGCTTTAGCTTTTATTCTTGCGATAGATAGATAGATAGATAGATAGATAGATAGATAGATAGATAGATATGTGTGCCTGTGTGTGCCTCTAATCTTACGTTGAGTTCAATATCTGCCTCACTGTGTAGATGTATCAACGTTAAAATGTATATCGATGTCGTTAAACGTGAGCTGTGACATAAAAAAGCAATTGTCGCTTGAACTTTGTTTTTTAATTTATATTTCACCCTTTCTTCCCCAAAATACCAATTGACGTTCCGTTTCAGTTTTTGTTCGATCTCCTTTTAAACGCTGAGTAACAGCCTACCCAGATCGCCATTTTAAATGACCCACGAGTTGAGTCCTCTATCCTCAGCTTTTACGCGTCTTATTCTATTCCAATATTTCTTATTTTCTGTGGTGTTTAAACAAACCGATGATGCGAAATCGATTATAATACATATCGATTATGATACATATCGATTATGATACATATTGATTATGATACATATTGATTATGATACATATTTGCATAAAACTCTTCCTCAATCCATTTGATTGTTTGTCCATCTCCTAGTCTGTGAATCAGATATTTTCTTTTTTTTGCCTCTTTATACACTATTTTTTTACCTCACCTACACACATGCTCACACACATACATATATACACACACGAACACACACATTCATATATATATATATATATATATATATATATATATATATATATATATATGAATTGTGTATTTGTTCAGCAATCCCTATTTGATACAAGTCTAATTGAAGTCGACTGAAACTGTACTGCGATTTTATTTCAATTTTCTTGCATTCGTACGAGTTTTTTTCTAGACATATGGTGTATAAAAAAAACAGTTCAAAATACCTGCAGATCCGGCACCTTTTGACTATTTGCCATTATCAAAGATGTTTTAGCGTTAAACAGAATATCTAGCTTTATATATATATATATATATATATATATATATATATATATATAAAAGGAAGAGAGTATAGTAGTTCCAACGAGAGAAAAGTGTGTATGTTAAAAAAGAGGAGAGATACTGCAAACGTTTTTGGTTGTAATGTGGATTTAAAAAAAAATGTTATGCTTTATTTTCCATAATTTTACTACACGAGTTTCTGGTCTCGTGACCGTCATCAGGTAAAGGGTGTTAACAATCCGAATTTCTTTCTT